TTCACTAAGTTTTCTCTTTGGTCTCTCTGGCTTTTGTTCTTGTTTTTGTTCCTTCAGTTCGGATAAAATTTGCTCGCGAATTTCTTTCTTCAATGCTTCAACATCTATGACCCCTTGGGTCTTGTCCGTAGGGCTTGTCTGAGTCATTTGACTGCAGATAAAAAAACAAAATTAAAACTTTAACCGATGTAAAATGAGCTTGTCAAATCAGAACGAGAGTCTATTATATTAAAATGACGCAAGAGGAATACAACATCCTTTCTATTATGTAAGTCAGAGTAAAGATGGTAAAATATACGTAAGAAAAAGAAAGGTTCCATTAGCGAATGCAGAGAGCGACAACATTAAGGTGCATGGCACCGAGGGTGAAGCCCATATAAAACCTTCTATTCAAACTGAAAAGTCAATAGAACAAGAAGAAAAGAAGCCAGATGTTCTTTCAATAAGAACCAAGAGCTTATTGCAAAGTTCGTGAATTTCATTGAAAAGCAAACCGAGTCAAAGAACCCTGACCCACCAGTGAAAGAAGTTGAGACAAAAGAGAATGTACAGTTCATTGAAAATGTCAAGAAACTTCCACCACGAATTCCAAGAAGAAGAGTGAGAATAATGAAGTAAATAGATATTTTTATCTGAAGTAAATACATGCAGAACGAACAGCTAAACGAATTTACTCCAGCAGAGCATATTCATCAGATTCGCTCATATTTCGATATCATAGACAATGCAGTTCAAATTGGTGACACTAATAGAAAATATTCTGACGCAAAGATTCCATCACAACCTGGAACTGCTAAAGATAACACATGGGTAACATTCAATCTCTCACCTCCTGGTGAAAATATGTTGGACCTTTACAATACATTCATTACGTATAAAATGGAAGGTCAATTTATTGTAGATAAAGAAATTGGTTCAGGTTCCGATAAAACAAACCCACCAGGATTTTGGATTGGTTTCGATGACGCTTTCTATGCAGTTGCTGGATATCAAATCCTTGCAAATGGTCGTATCGTATATTCTCAAGACAACGCAAGAGAAGAAGCATATATAACTTCAAACTCACAAACTACCGAACAAATAAAGAAAGTAGATGTTTTCTCAAAGACTCGACATGAAGATGTATGGAGTCATTCGGGAACATGCAGAACAGGACAAATTGTTAGTGGTCCAATTACAGCAGGAAAATCATTTGATTTTAAGCTTCGTTTAAGAATTCCTGTTAGAAAGTTTTTACCATTAGAAGCTATAAGATTTATTCCAGCTTTTGCAGGAAACATTCAGCTTAAAGTAAAGTTCAGTAGCGACGCCTTACAATGCACATCTATATCTGTAAATGATATCATTGCTTTCAATCCAACTCTTAAAGTTGCATTTGCTTCAGATTCAAATCCACCGACAAATAAATTTGTTCCATGGAATGAACCATTCACTATGATAACGAAGGCAGTAGAAGCTAGTGGAACAGTTACTATTACAACTGTAACCCAGCAACTATTTCGAACAAAGATGGATTTTAATGAATGTTTCATTCATCCAAAGTCATTCTCTTTAGACCCTAACATTTATACAGAACTTGTAGAACATTATACAAACGAGGCTTTATGTTTTCCTGTTAAAGTTATGGATTGGATTCCTATGGACGGTTCATTCTCAAAGAATACAGATAGTTCAAGTGCAACATTTACAGCAGCTTATACGCCTATTAATGTTAAAAGTATTTGGGCACTATTTAGAAGAAAGACAACTATTATGTTAATTTTGAGAACCCTAAGTTTAAATATCTTCAGCTTTCCATGGGAGCTTATGGAAATATGCCTGCAGAACCTGAAAAATCATATGGACCTGTATTTTATGAAATGGTTGCGAACGCTTGCAATACAAACAATGATATGATAGGATTTAATGAAGATGTTATGAGGTCATTGGTGGATGATGGTAGTGTGGAAATAAATGGGATAGCTATGACAACACACATTTCTTATGTGGTTTTCCAACAGAAGTGGACTTTTGCTTCCAGCAAGGTCAAACATCTACTGCTCCAATAACATACAAATTGTCTGTTAAAGGACCTATTGAACTAGCAACTGAAAAGTACCAAAGCCACTTATTGGATTTATGAGGGATTGTTGCTTTGCCATTCAGGTGCGTGCTAATGGCATCCCAATAATAAGATTAGATGACTATAACTTAGCTACGGACGACAGTGAGGAATAAAGGATGAACGTTTATTTTTAAAGCTTATAAATGAGTTCTTCATCAAGCTCTCGTGAACCTTCACCATCTATGAAACAAACTTTACCAAACGATTATGGAGCACCTATTGAATATTTCTTACGAGCTGCACAATGGCAAAGAGCAGTCTCACCAAGGTTAGGTGTTCCACCAGCTCCTGTCAAAAATAGCATTTGGTCAAGTCCTTATATAAAATATGGTCTCCCACTAGGTTTGCTAGCTACAGCAGGAGCAGTTATGATGTTGAAAAGAAATAAAGCAAATGTTGTAAATAATACTGAAGTAGCTGAAGTTAAACAAACTCCAACACCTTCGCCAAAACCAACGCCTTCACAAGCAAAACCTTCAATGACTCCTGAACCTATGGAAGTACAAACTCCTGTTCAAAAGTCAACTCCTAAACCGACTCCAACATTTAAACCAGAACCTACTCCTCAAATAAATCGTAAAACTCCTGCGTTTCCTTACTGAAAAAATAACGTTATTTTTATTTAATATTAAAATTTTTATTTGATTGAAATGACGACTAAAGTCACTGAAGCAATGAAACAAAAGTTTTTGGTAGAATACATTAAATCAGGAACTATTCCAGAAGGTTTTTACATTCATACTATGAAGGATGGTAGAGTTCAGTTTAGAAAGATAAAGCAACCATTAGATAGAGAAGGTATATTAAGGAAGATTAAACTTCATGAGGACAACATTGCTGAACTTAAGAAGAAGTTAGAAGAGTTGGAGAAAGGAAGAGAGTTATAAAGTAATGAATTCAACGGGTGAAAAAAGAGGTGAAAAAAGAGGTGAGATTTCACCACTTCACCTAAATTTATTTTTGTGCTATGTTTTCATACGTGTGAGGGTGGTGATATCATTAATTTTAAGTTTATTTTTTATTTACTGAAAATTTTTATTTGGATGTAAATGACAGAACAAAAGCAACTCATTCGAATTCCACAGTATAACAAACATACATTTAAACATTTATTCTTCCTTCCTGAGCATAACATGTTCTTTCAAATACATCCGAGACCAGTTGACTTTTCATTGACTGTGTATAAAGATAGAAATAGTTATATCATTAAACCATATGATGACGAAGGTAAGTTATGTAAATTGTACGTTAAGAAGTTAGAGAAAGTTTATGGCTTCAAGTATGACTACAATAGGGTTAACACTGATGATGAAGATATTGAGGAAAATTTATGAGAACATTAGTGAAGTCGTTAGTGAGAACGATAGTGAGAACGTTTATTTTTTACATTAGTGAGTTCGTTAGTGAAGTGAAGTGTGTGGCGGTTTTGTAAATATTTAAGGTTATGTTGAGTAAGGTGGAACGCAGTGCCACCGTACCCAACATAACCATACTAACTTATTTCTCTATATGGCGCCGAAATTTTTTGGTGAAATGTCGTCGCATTTCACCAAAAATTCTCGGCGCACTATACACAATTGGAGAGTAACGTATATCATTACAACTCATGTTACTCTCAAAACCCAATTCCTTTCCCTTATTGAAATAATTGACCTGAAATAATAGATTATTCAAGAAGTAAATTGCTTTTTTCGCTTTTCTAAACTAATCTATAAGTTATCCTCTCCCATGCCGAACTAACTATAATGTTTCGTTCCGAAATGGCTAACAAAAAAGTGACAGAAAACCTTAAATTGCGCGTCAATTTTAATTTAAAAAATAAACATTAATTTTTGTGATTGATATTATGCATTTTATTTATATTATATAAGATTTAAATTTAGGGGAAAAATTGGGAAAAAAATAAGATTGGAAGTCTTTAGGTAAGAAGGAAAGGGCAAGAGATATATAGTGTACCTATATACCTCTTGCCCTTTCATTCTAAGTAGAAATGGGAGAAACTTTGTCCGCATCATAACTTATGATGCGGACAAAGTTTCTCCCATTTCTAATGGGAATTGCAGGCTATGAGGCACTGATATATAATCAGTACCTCATAGCCTACAATTCCCTTTATTAGACTTCCAAACTTTGAGTTAATGTCAAGACATTAACTCAAAGTTTGGAAAACTTCTCGTAAGAATCAATCGTCAAAAACCTCGATTGCAGTTATATTCATTGTGTTAAATTTGATTTATTTTGAAATTTTTATAAATTAAATTTTATATAACATAAAGCGTTATGAATTAGTATTTCCATATGAATTTTATCTCGAAAATAGTAATTCTGTACAGTTATATTTCGGTTAATTTTGGAAATTTCTAGGAATAGTTTAAGATAGTATGATTATATATAACTCTGCCTTCATGATTTTTTTAGCTTTCGCGCAAATATCAGTTAACTTAACTCCATTATTTGATTTTGTGATGGCTTCACAAAGCCAATCAATATCAATCTCTTCTGGAGAATGTCTTCTCATCTAGAATATTTTCAATACTTTACATACAAACATTTTTATTTCTAAAAAACTTTTTAATTTTTTCTAGGATATATGAATGAAAATAGTTAGAACAAGATTTTGAAGCTCAAAACATTAAAAATTATTAAAGATTTGTATAATATGATTAAAAATGGGAAATAATATGAGGCAATATAAAGGAATATGAATATTAAATAAATATATCTAAATAGAAAGAATCAGAAAAATCAAATTATTGGCGCCAAAAATGTCACCTTTTTGGTGAGCCATTTCGGTATGAGATACTATATAATGAGGAAGCTGATAAAAAATATGTAAAAGATTGTATAAAGAAATTTTTATTCAAATGATAAATTATGTAAGATTTTTTTTGAGATTTCAAACTCTTTTCTCGATGATTATAGTAGGCTCGGGATATAGTTCCTTTGTCCATTTTGCTTCGCGATTCCAAACTTGTAGAGGAATTAATTTCTCTCCAAAATTTTTTTCCAATGAAGAATGTTTCCAAACTTCATTGTACTCTTGTATAACTTTTGGTATAAACTCCAATGGTTGAACTCCGGGATTGGCTTTGAACAAAGTCTCCCAGCATCTTTCGATTTTACCATTCTCTTCCGGTGTGTACGGATGAGTGGTATTGTGCTTGATCTGGTAGTCTGAGCAGATTTGTTCAAAGTCTCTTTCCACGTATTCAGTTCCATTGTCGGTCATTATTGTATGCGGAACTAATCGTGATTTTTGTATTGCGTGTCTGAAAGAATGAGCAGTATGCTTCATTTCTTTCGTTGGGAGGATATCATAATCTATGATATACCTGCTGCGATCATCAATAAATGCTATTAAATATAAAAAATTTTCATTCAAATCTTTAACGTATTTAAGATCTGTATGCCAGATCTGGTTTACATACTTCGCAACATACTCATTATCATGATGCTCTTTTTGTTTTTTTCTATGAAATGTAAATAAATATTGTTGTTGAAAAATTTTAAAAATATCATTGTATGATACTGTTTTATCGTCAATAAAGTATGAGTCCTTAATTCGTTTATATCATACGTCGAAAGAAGCTTTAGTTGTTAAAACTTTTTCAATAATTGCTGGACTTTGAGACTTTTTTTGGTTTTCCCTTAGGTTTTATCTGTAATTTTAAGGCTTGAAAAATTGATTTTAACTTTTTTCGAATATGAAATTCTTTTGCTAAAGATTCGAGAGAAATGTTTGAATTGTTAATATATAAATCGTGCTTTTTCTCTTATTATACGAAGAACTTGATCTTCTGGTATCCCGGGAATATTAAAAAGAATAATATCTCTGGGATCATCTAATAATTGCCGAATTTCTTCCATTTAACGTAAACTTCTCAATTAAATATGGTTATTATGAATTTTCAATTGGAAATTTCTTAACATGTCTTATAAATATTTATATAATGTTATGTTAGAACAAAATTTGATAAATATATTTGATAATTCTTTTGAAAAATTGTTAAATAAAAATGAGAAAATTAAAAGAAGAAAATATATGTTTAATATTTTTTTAAAAAACTTTGCATAATGTAAAGTGTCAAAAATGAATTGGGACATTTTTTCATGCATTATACTTTTGCAATTGATTGAATATAATTTTTTTGATTATTAATATATATATATCATATTTCTCCCTTATTACGCGAAGAATTTGATCTTCTGGGATACCAGGAAGTTGAAATAGATAAATATCTCTTGGATTTTGTAAAATATTTTCGATTTCTTCCATTTTAATGTAAATTTCTCAATTTGAATTTTGAAATAGTTTACCATCTGAAATTTGAATGGGAAATTTCATAACATGTCTTATTAATTTTCATAATGTACAAAATTCGGTACAATTTCATTTTTTTGAAATATTTTATATATATAAATTTAGATGATCTTTATTATATTTCAGATTTATTGATACAAAAACTTTACAATATGTAAAGTGTCAAAAATGAACTGGGACCTTTTTCATGTATTGCAAGACAAAAAAATAAATCCAATTTGTATAATAGCATTACGTTTATCCACACTTCCCTCCATAGAAGTAAGAGTTGTTCGTGGGAGAATTAACCAGAATATGCAAGAAAACTTTTCTATGGACGTATTATCCTAAGGGTGCCCAGAGATATTAGGGATGTTTTCGATCAGAAATTATGTGTTCGAAAATATAACGATGATCACAATTAAATTGAATTGTGTGCCTACAAAAAAATGTGTGCTTAAAAAAGATATTAAGATCACTGTTTATTTTTAAGCGAACATTACTTTTAAGGCGTACATGTCAGATTTAACCGATCATAATTTTTACCGCGAACATTTCAATTTTAGGCGAACATAATTTGTTTGCGAACACAACAAGATGTTCAAACCGTTTTATTATGTTCGGTTAAATTTGAATGTTCCAAACTATTTTTTAGAAATTAAAATCATAATTTCAATTTGGTTTTATAATTTTATATATCATTGCATAAAAGTATAAATGGTAATGCAAAAGTTTATTTTTCTAGAATTTAATTGCGAAATTAGACTCTATGTCGAAAAAATTTGCTCTATATTCAATAACTATCTTATCTATTTATTTGTTTAAATTGTTGCATGCTAAGTAGTGTCAATGTGTAAACCTCTCAATTTTATCGTCGAGGAAGCAACATAATTCCCTCAAAAATATTGAAAACATATAGAAAATAAAATGAATTAAGATGTGCTTAAAATGAGAAATAGATTATGATATTAGATTTTACAAAAAAAGACTTTTGATATAACTTTTGAGAATCTCATATAAAAAAGTATTTAAAATAAATTTAAATATCTTATTTATTTTGCTATTGTAAATCTATACTGAGATTTTTAGGAAAAAACACTTTTCATAAGTATTCAATATTTGAGAATACGCTCCAAAAAAGAATAGATTCTTTTATATTTCCTTATATAAACGGAAACTCTCTATCAGATGCGAATGCATGAATTCAGCACCTCTGATAGAGAGTTTCCTCTTATATAAGCAAATCTTTTTCAGAGTCAGTACAAAGTTATCTGAAAAAATGAAAGGATGACTTTGTATCGTCTTCAAAAAATGGGATCACTTTGTCACAGCGTTACCTAAATTAAATTGAGACTTATATCATGTGTAGAGTTATTTTTCATGAGGAATGGCTTATACTATATGATTTTGAGGGTATGTTGTCGGTGAGTGGAATAATCTCATATCTTGAATCACACATCAAAATCATTAATTTTTTGTGGGTTGAATATAACTTATCCTTGTCTTTATTATTTCTATGTTTAAAAGTCTCATTTATATATACTGGTCTCAAAATCTTATGCGCATTAAGGCAATTTTGATATATAAGCTCAAAAGCACTTGTGATATAATCTTCATATATAAGCGCATCTAAATGCAGTGTGATCAGCTTTAAGCTCTATTATTTTCACAGATATAATCTCAAAATGTTATAAAAATATGAAAGAGTGAATATATGAATAAGGATATATAACTTATGTAATATGTAGCAGAATATATTGTAATATAAGAGGAAAATATAAATATAAGCAAATTATAATTTTATTCATGAGTAAAAATAGTTAGTATGGTTAACTTGGGTACGGCGACACTGTGTTCCACCTTACCCAACTTAACCTTAAATATTTACAAAACCGTCTGACACATAAATGACTTCACTAATGACTTCACTAACGACTTCACTAATGAAAAATAAACGTTCTCACTAACGTTCCCACTAATGTTCTCATTTACAAAAGTATTGCAGCGCTTCCCATTGCTGTGCTTCACACAACAGTTCATATTCTTCTGATCGCTGCTTCCTCCAATCGTCAGAGTCAAATCACTGTCAAAATAAATGTTAGTAAGTTTTGACAAAGCTAATGAAACACGCTTACCGTTTGTATCGTATGCTTGTATAAACTTTCCATCTTTTCCTTCATAAACGCTCAAACTAACTTTACCCTTTCTCCCTCGTATCTGATAGAATGTATTTTCACGAGGAACGAAGAACAAATTCTTGAACTCATGACCGTTGTAGTTTGTTATCTCAATAGTTTTCGTCATTTATAAAATAAAATAAAAATATAAAAAATAAACTTAAAAATTAATGATATCACCACCCTCACACGTATGAAAACATAGCACAAAAATAAATTTAGGTGAAGTGGTGAGATCTCACCTCATTTTCACCCTGTTGAATTCATTGCTTTATAACTCTCTTCCTTTCTCCAACTCTTCTAACTTCTTCTTAAGTTCAGCAATGTTGTCCTCATGAAGTTTAATCTTTCTCAAAATTCCTTCTTTATCTAATGGTTGCTTTATCTTTCTAAACTGAACTCTACCATCCTTCATAGTATGAATGTAAAAACCTTCTGGAATAGTTCCTGATTTAATGTATTCTACCAAAAACTTTTGTTTCATTGCTTCAGTGACTTTATTTGTCATTTCAATCAAATAAAAATTTTAATATTAAATAAAAATAACGTTATTTTTTCAGTAAGGAAACGCAGGAGTTTTACGATTTATTTGAGGAGTAGGTTCTGGTTTAAATGTTGGAGTCGGTTTAGGAGTTGACTTTTGAACAGGAGTTTGTACTTCCATAGGTTCAGGAGTCATTGAAGGTTTTGCTTGTGAAGGCGTTGCGAGTTTGTTTAACTTCAGCTACTTCAGTATTATTTACAACATTTGCTTTATTTCTTTTCAACATCATAACTGCTCCTGCTGTAGCTAGCAAACCTAGTGGGAGACCATATTTATATAAGGACTTGACCAAATGCTATTTTTGACAGGAGCTGGTGGAACACCTAACCTTGGTGAGACTGCTCTTTGCCATTGTGCAGCTCGTAAGAAATATTCAATAGGTGCTCCATAATCGTTTGGTAAAGTTTGTTTCATAGATGGTGAAGGTTCACGAGAGCTTGATGAAGAACTCATTTATAAGCTTTAAAAATAAACGTTCATCCTTTATTCCTCACTGTCGTCCGTAGCTAAGTTATAGTCATCTAATCTTATTATGGGATTCCATTAGCACGCACCTGAATGGCAAAGCAACAATCCCTCATAAATCCAATAAGTGGCTTTGGTACATTTTCAGTTGCTAGTTCAATAGGTCCTTTAACAGACAATTTGTATGTTATTGGAGCAGTAGATGTTTGACCTTGCTGGAAGCAAAAGTCCACTTCTGTTGGAAAACCACATAAGAAATGTGTGTTGTCATAGCTATCCCATTTATGTTCCACACTACCATCATCCACCAATGACCTCATAACATCTTCATTAAATCCTATCATATCATTGTTTGTATTGCAAGCGTTCGCAACCATTTCATAAAATACAGGTCCATATGATTTTTCAGGTTCTGCAGGCATATTTCCATAAGCTCCCATGGAAAGCTGAAGATATTTAAACTTAGGGTTCTCAAAATTAACATAATAGTTGTCTTTCTTTCTAAATAGTGCCCAAATACTTTTAACATTAATAGGCGTATAAGCTGCTGTAAATGTTGCACTTGAACTATCTGTATTCTTTGAGAATGAACCGTCCATAGGAATCCAATCCATAACTTTAACAGGAAAACATAAAGCCTCGTTTGTATAATGTTCTACAAGTTCTGTATAAATGTTAGGGTCTAAAGAGAATGACTTTGGATGAATGAAACATTCATTAAAATCCATCTTTGTTCGAAATAGTTGCTGGGTTACAGTTGTAATAGTAACTGTTCCACTAGCTTCTACTGCCTTCGTTATCATAGTGAATGGTTCATTCCATGGAACAAATTTATTTGTCGGTGGATTTGAATCTGAAGCAAATGCAACTTTAAGAGTTGGATTGAAAGCAATGATATCATTTACAGATATAGATGTGCATTGTAAGGCGTCGCTACTGAACTTTACTTTAAGCTGAATGTTTCCTGCAAAAGCTGGAATAAATCGAATAGCTTCTAATGGAAGGAATCTTCTAACAGGAATTCTTAAACGAAGCTTAAAATCAAATGATTTTCCTGCTGTAATTGGACCACTAACAATTTGTCCTGTTCTGCATGTTCCCGAATGACTCCATACATCTTCATGTCGAGTCTTTGAGAAAACATCTACTTTCTTTATTTGTTCGGTAGTTTGTGAGTTTGAAGTTATATATGCTTCTTCTCTTGCGTTGTCTTGAGAATATACGATACGACCATTTGCAAGGATTTGATATCCAGCAACTGCATAGAAAGCGTCATCGAAACCAATCCAAAATCCTGGTGGGTTTGTTTTATTGGAACCTGAACCAATTTCTTTATCTACAATAAATTGACCTTCCATTTTATACGTAATGAATGTATTGTAAAGGTCCAACATATTTTCACCAGGAGGTGAGAGATTGAATGTTACCCATGTGTTATCTTTAGCAGTTCCAGGTTGTGATGGAATCTTTGCGTCAGAATATTTTCTATTAGTGTCACCAATTTGAACTGCATTGTCTATGATATCGAAATATGAGCGAATCTGATGAATATGCTCTGCTGGAGTAAATTCGTTTAACTGTTCGTTCTGCATGTATTTACTTCAGATAAAAATATCTATTTACTTCATTATTCTCACTCTTCTTCTTGGCATTCGTGGTGGAAGTTGTTTCTTGACATTTTCAATGAACTGTACATTCTCTTTTGTCTCAACTTCTTTCACTGGCGGGTCAGGGTTCTTTGACTCGGTTTGTTTTTCAATGAAATTCACGAACTTTGCAATAAGCTCTTGGTTCGTTATTGAAAGTACATCTGGCTTCTTTTCTTCTTGTTCTATTGACTTTTCAGTTTGAACAGAAGGTTTTATATGGGCTTCGTGGACTTCACCCTTGCCATACACCTTAATGTTGTCGCTTTCTGCATTCGCTAATGGAACCTTTCTTTTTCTTACGTATATTTTACCATCTTTACTCTGACTTACGTAATAGAAAGGATGTTGTATTCCTCTTGCGTCATTTAATATAATAGACTCTCGCTCTGATTTTGACAAGCTCATTTTACATCGGTTAAAGTTTTAATTTTGTTTTTTATCTGCAGTCAAATGACTCAGACAAGCCCTACGGACAAGACCCAAGGGGTCATAGATGTTGAAGCATTGAAGAAAGAAATTCGTGAGCAAATTTTATCCGAACTGAAGGAACAAAAACAAGAACAAAAGCCAGAGAGACCAAAGAGAAAACTTAGTGAAAAACAACTTGCTGCATTAGCTGCTGGAAGACAAAAGAACCCACGTTTGCTGGCGAAGAAAGCTAGAGAAGAAGCTGAAGCAAAAGCTAAAGAAGCTGAAGCAAAGAAAGAGTAAATGGTTTATTTTTATCGGAACTAAATGTATAGACAAATACCTTTATCTGTTGCGTTCAGTAGTGAAAACCCTGACGTCAAAATAAAGGGGAACAGAGTAACGTTTAAGTTTCCAACAGACTGGATTGTGAACATAAATGAAGAGAAGTACATTGGCATAACATCTATGTATATAACACGTGCTTTCAGAAAGGTTGACTTTATACTTCAAGTCGAGATAGAAAATGACGAACAGTCTTTAAGCGCCCAAAACATTCACATATACAAATACTTTAAAGACGATACAACATTGTTGCAATGTATGATTTCATTTAATGAAATGTTCGAGAAAAAGTTTAACATTGAAGTACAAACTTTACAGCCTTTACGTGAGTTTCTTGCACAACTGAAAGAAGAAGGTAGTCAGCCACAACTTATAGACTTTCATTATGAATTTAATGAAAATGAAGATGGAACTCATGACTGTCAATTCATTGTATTCTCACCATTCAATGAAGTCGCTAAAGAGAAAGAAAATCCATTACGTATAAGATTTCAAATCTCTGAACCAAGTGATGATTTCAAGAATGTTTTCAATTATGATGCAATGCTTCCGAGGAAAAATGAATTTTCAAAGATTGTAACACCTGGCATTTGGGATAGAAAGCAAGCTATATTATATTCAAACTTAAGTAAGGGAGTTGAAAATGAGTTCATTGGTCATACAAGAACTTCACCACTTCCTAACCCTAAATACTATAAATTAACTGGCTTCAATCGTGAGTTTTGGATAGACATGTTCTCCACTCATGACCATAACTGCCCAGTGTTCTTACCTCCAGACCATAAGGACTGTCTCTACATTGAAGCACAACTCTTAAACTCTACCATCGCAGTATTGTAAATGACCACATGGGCTTCGCCCTTGCCGCTAGCGGCTTATTTTTATCACGAATGACCTCATTGCTGACAAAAATAAATGACCTCAGAACTTCAACTTACGAATAAAGCTTGTTTTAGTCGTTATTGAGAAGTTAAACTTTCAGCAAAGCAAGGACTAGAAGACTTACATAAGTCAAATCCAATCTCTTGACCGTCATAAAGTGCTTTGTAAAGTTTCATTAAACTGAACTCAGAGTCTTTGTCATATGTTCCTTGCGGAACCATTAAACCTTTATCTTCATCATAGAAACACTGAACAGAGTCAGGAAACATTTCATTAGCGGTTAAAGCAATAACATCTTGCTTCACGCCTTTCATTCTGCAGTGAAATGCAACTTCATTTAAATCATTCGTGAGTAAGTCTATGTAAGTCTTCTTTCCACAAAATATTGACTTGTATGCTAAACTTTGTTTTCTTTTGTGATTTCTGCAAAGTCGCTATGAAATTGACCAAGGTTTTTACCAATGAGAACTCTTCCATAACGTTTCTCAAACTCTTCAGCTAAACGAGGGATATCTTCATTGTAGAGATGCATACTGTCCGTATCGCTATAAAAGATGTCCATTCCTAAGTCCTCAGCAGTACAGAATACTTCACACATTATTCTCTTCGACATAGACAGAATGTTAACACCAAGTGGACAGAAGTTAAAGTGTCTGCAAATGCTTTTCGTTAGCTTGAAAATAGTTTTATCTGAACCATCCAAACCTTCGAACTTCACTATATGGTTGTAGTTTCTGATGGCATATCTTATAGCATCTTTGTCATTTACTATGGTTATTTTTGACTCAATAGGAGATAGAATAGTTTGCCATAAATACTGTTCAGAATGAGCTTTATATTTTCTTGCAAAGGATTTCCTTCTTTCTTATACTTTAACCTTAACTCAAACAACTTCTTTACTTCATCTCTTATTCTAATATCTCTGTTTCCATCGTAATAGTATCCTTGCAACACTTCACATTTGACACCTTGATATTTTATGAGGTCTTGTAATGTTATATGGTCAACATACATTAAACAGCAAGTGTTTGAACTTCTGGGAACGTTAAGTTCTGGATTTAGTTCAGGGTCACAAACTATTAAAGGAAAGTGTCTATGTATTCCAATCTCTGTTATCTTAATGAGAACAAAGAAGCCAGACATAAACTTTTCACCAATGGGTTCCTTTTGGTCGTCATCGAATAAATGTCTCATGAGATACTCTGTGCTTAACATTTCTTTCTTCATAACCTTTGGAATACCTTCTAAAGTATAAAGTCTTGCTATAGCTGATGGATATAATGAAACAGCGTCGAAATCAGCAATGAGTTTCTTTTCGCTCTTTTGTTTAATGTTATCTGACAGCATACATCTTCCACCTTGAATACAGCGTGAAATAAATTCTCTTGGTTTATTTGAGAGGTCATATAAATTTCCATTCGGGAAGTACACTCTGTTCTCAAACAATTTGTTAGCAATTGAACAAATACTAACGTAGTCATAAACGTTTAAATCAAATTCTTTCAATATGTCATTGCGGAACTTAACAAAACCTTCTCTTAAAATTCTTACATCTTGTTTGCAATAAAATGTGCTATACTTTTCTAAGTCGAAGTGGTTCTCATCTATTCTGCAACCTTTGATGGAATCTATGTTTTTCATGAATGTATCAATATCTTTTACAAACTTACATGCTTCAGAAATGACACCAGTTCTGTTGTCATTTGCTAACAAAACACTGCTGTAGTAGTTATATGGAAATACTTCTTTCGGTCCTGTTTGTAAGTTAAACATAGCAGGAAATAGTTTAAGCTTCTTATTTATAACACTGTAAGAGTCTTTTATAATAATTGCCCTTCCTTTATATAAGCCAGTTATTTGCATTGTTCGTGAACCTTTAATGATGGGAGTTCCTTTCACTTCTGTCATGTGTCTTAAGATGAAGTTTATATCATAACTGAGGTTATGGAAATATATTAAACTCTTGTCAGGAAGTCGTTCCAAAAATTCTGTTGCACAGTTCTGACCCCAAATGCTTTCACTCACTGAACCATCTTCACTGTCATAACAGATGTTAAAAGCTTTATGAAAGCCGTCTGTGCTACACTCAAAGTCAGCAAAGAAAACGTGCTCAGGAATGAACTTGCACTTATTTTTATTTACTTCTTTTGACTCGGCTTTCTTCTTCAGTTGTACACAATACTTTGGAGCATATGTCAAATCTTTAAATGGTGCAAGGTTCTGTTTATATAAGTCAGTCGTATATGTGAAAAGTTCTCCATAAGAAATAGGTTCGAAATATTTGCACTCCCACAATGTTTTCATAACATCCCATAACGGTGTTGTTCTATCATAACGAACTACATATTTATCTTCTCTCTTTGTATAAATCTTCATTTGTTTCTCAATGTTCATTCCACCACAAGCTTTGAGAATTTCTTTTAATTTCGAATGAAATATGTTGTCATTGGTAATCTTTCATTTAGCATGTAGTGGTCTTCAACAAGAAGTAAGTCAATAGTTCTAACAGTTTCACATTCTTTTGGTATGTATCTCTTTATTTCATTATGTCTTGAGTCATTGAAGTAACCAATGGTAACATTAAATGCTATACCTGTTGCGTCAGAAATTTCTTGTACTTTACTTTGAGGAAAGTCTCTAACACGAATGACTTCTCTCATGTGGTCAATAGTTTCTTCATTTACTCCAGCCTGAATGCAAGCATAAACGAAACAATTGTCTTCTGTCATAAGTGTTGCAGTTCTTTTGTTCAGTTCATTGAAGATTTGGTAGCGTTCAAGATTTATAGGTAATGTGCAAAGATACTTCCAGAACTGACCGCTTCTCTTCTTATAAAACTTCTTTTCACCATTATCTTTCCAAAAGCTTTCTATAAGTGCTGGGTTTCCTGTTTGCTTAAGAGCTTCCAAAATGGCTTTCTGGTCATTTGTCAGTGTGCTTTCATCTCTATATGGTCTCTTTTTTGGTTTGCCTTTCTTTACATCTGACATCGTTAAGCCTTCATATTCTGTTAAATCATACATCTTTATTTCGGTAAGATTCTTTATGTTTGTCAAGAAGAAGTCATAGTGCATTTCAACAATACCTGCAGCATTTGCTTCTATCTCTGATATAAAGTTCTCCTTCAAGAGCTGATGTAGTAATGTTCCAATATTATTGAGGTTTAACGTAGAACATTCATACTTTCCACCAAGTTTATAACATACCATCCATCTCTGTTGGAGTTTATTTTAATTTCTCTAAGAGTCTCATGAAAACCTTACCGAAATGTTTGTGTAAGTAGTCTCTGTTTGGTTCATCTAAAGCTTCGATGTTAAAGTCAATGAGTCTATTGCCTGACTTCACATTTCTCTTCCTATTCTCTTCATCTTTCTTTAACCATCTCTCACCTTCTTTTGGTTTGTCGTCAATGGAACGAATGACATCGTTAGCTTTGCGAACTTGTTCTATAGCACTTTTAAACATCTCTCTTCTCTGTTGTTTCAGTGTGTCGTCTCTTCTTCTTGTTTCACCAACGTTTGCATTTGTTATGTCAAACATTTCTCTTCTTACTTCATGAGGTACTGAACGTCTATGATATAAGTCAATAGCAACGTCATTTAAAGGAAATGCTCTTGCATGGACTTCGTCCTCGCCGCGTTGCGGCTTTATGAACTCATGAATTCTATCATAACTTATTGCACCATTATAGTCATTGAGGATGTCAGCGAGTGCTTTTTTGTTTGTTGCGTAATGCTTTGCAACATCTATATTAGCTTCTGTAAGAAGTTGTTTTATTTCCGAGTGTTCTAACTTAGACAACTTCCGATACATCTTTAGTAGGAAATAAAAAAATATTTTTTGAAAAAATTAGATTAGATTTTTTAAGTTATTTTTCAAAATAATTTAATATTTTTATTTTAATGAAACACATGCAAGATTGCAAGTTCTTTTCATACAATGCTCTCGCTACTGCCATCAAGAATGAGTTCAATAATGCTTCAAACGTTAATGTTATCTTTAACAAGAAGTTTGTGAAAGAATCTAAGTTTGGTCAGTATGTCAGACCATTAGCTATCGTCATTGACCGCAAACGTTATACTTCACAAGAGTTAGCAGTAGTTTTGAAACAAAAGAGTTTCTTCGTGAATGTCAAAGATACTCATTATACTGTCATAAAGAACTCTAACATTGACTTCTTCAGTATTGCTAAATCTTTCCGAACAGAAAGAATATAAGAAGGGTGAAACAAATGTGAAATATTATCCTTCATCTCTGAAGACAATAACGAACAAAGATGTTATACAGAAATTCTTACCAAAGGTTGAAGAAGCTTCTATTGACATTGACGAAGGAAGTGAAATGGTTGAAGAAATAGACCCTGAAGCTATTTAAGCAAAAATATATTTTTGGTTAGTCTTCATATGGATATTTTACAACAATTCCCCAATGTATAAACTTTTCATACACTTTTTCATAAGCTTTATATACCTTCAGAAATTTTGCATAATCTTTAGAAGCATTTAGATATTGTTTAAATGCTTTGTATGTCTTCAGAAATTTTGCATAATCTTTTACATGTTGTTCGTTCTCTTCTTCTGTCATGAGTTCCGAATATTCTAAATTCATGTTCTTTCATATGAGATAATATTTTATAAAAAAATAAAATTAGCTTAGATTTTTTTATTCTTCCTCTTTGAAGTTGTCAAAATACTCTGTTATTTTTTCCTTCAGTAATGTTAAGTCTTCTTTGAATGTAAGTATTGTACAACCTTTGATGTCATAGTGTGTTTGAGGAAGAGTATTTTTGACAATTTCCTTTATTTGTTCATTCGGTGTCATTGAAATCGGTAAGTTTTCACGATAGAACCAGTTTCTGTCAGATTTGTAAATCTTAGCAAGGTCGTAAAAGCTTTTGTTGTTTCTTCTGACTAAATGTAACATAACCATATCTTTATCTTCTTCTTTCTCCAACTCTTCAGTATAAATCATATACTTATAACTCTTTTCCTTTCCTTTTGGTACCGAACGTGGTATTCTTTTCTGAATGCTTTTGTCTTTTGCTTCAATGACTTCATCTTTTGCTTGAAGTTTCTTTTCCAGCTCTTCACGTTCTTGTCTGTGAATTTCGTCAAGAAGTTTACAAACATACCAAGCATAACGAGCTGAAGCCCATTGTGCCACATTATTTACAAGAAGTCTATGAACATAATATCCTCTCAAACCGTTTGGCAATTTTTCACGGTTTTCATAGAGTTTTGGCGACTGGAGTTTTTTACCTACTCGCTGTTCTTCACTGTTTTCAGAAAAAAGTATGTCTCGCTGTGCTTCATTTAATAGTTCAATAGTGCTTTGGTTCCTAAACCAGTCTTTAGGAAGCTTAGTATCTGGAGCATAACATGCTGTCAAAATACTTTGCATTTGGTACATATCGTCTTTGACCGAACGAATGAGACGGAGTTGTTTGTTAAACTGTATGTACTCGTATTCTTCATTTATAGCTTCATGGACTATAACTGTTGTTGTGTTCTCTGTTGTTGACATTACTGTCTTTACATACAAAATAAAAAATTTGTTAGAAAAAAATTAGCGTTATTTTCTGACTTTCACAAAAGACCAAAAATAAACGCTTTACATGTATTTTTTCAGCAACTTCGTCAAAATAATTTTATAGCTTTATCTATCTCATCTACTTCAAACGTTTCTTTACCTTTCATGGGAGCACCATACATTTTCTCAAACTTTTTCAAGTAGTTCTGTTTCAGCAGCTCTCATATCATTAACAAACACAACCTTGACTCTATTGACTGTACTGTCATATCTTTGAGTTATATTATATGTTCTTCCTATCTTATATCTTTTTGTATTGAAGTCCTTCGTTTCTGAACGATATAAAGTAAGCCTTCACTGCAACGTTCCGTATCGAATGAACCATAAGTTATGAAGTTATATCCAACAACTGGGTCAATCCATAACAAAATATTGGTATAAGACTTTTGTCGATGAGATATGCTGTAGTTCCATAGAATCTTACCGATATCATAAGCTCAGGATTTCTGTCAAAATTTTTGAGTTGAAGCATTCTAACCCAGTGGTTTGTTTTCTTTTCAGATGGAGATATAATGTCTGACAAAGAATATTTGTTGTATTTCTTTGAGTATCTTACGTTTAAATCACCTATTCTAACCACTTTGGTGTCATTGTCTATCTTTCTAACTGTTTCAAACTCAAATGTTGACATATCTGTTCTTACATACAAAATAAAAAAATAAATAAAAATAAAACTAACTTTATTTTTCTAACTAATGAAATTCATTATTTTGTGCTGAATTCAGCAAAAATATATTTTAGGGTAAGATGGTTAGATCTAACCTCATTTCTACCCTCATTTCTACCCCAGTTATTTTATAAACATTTTACATGATATACGTTATGAATTCGTGAGATTCTAAACAGTTTTGTAGCTTCTATTTCTTCTTTTAGTACATCGAATGTTTTAACAATGCCGAAGGTTTCTTTATACTTCTTCTTGACGTCAGATAATAGGAAATCGTCAGCAGTTGGATAGTTTTTGTTCAGAAATGCTAACATGTCCATTTTATTTTCTGCTGGTTTTTCTGCTTCTTTCTTTAAGTCTGCATAGTCGTTTCGCATACGTTCTATCTCTTTGACGGAGTAGTTATATTTCCTCATTGCTGCTTTACATTTAGAACATTGCGGATTCATTTTTGCGTTATACATTGAAATAAAAACCAGCTAGAACAACCAAGGCGTCAATGGTTTTCTTTAAATCTGAAGCAGTTGGTTTTATCTGTTCATTCCATACCTTACCTCTTCTATCTTTATCTCTTATCTGCCATACACATTCTGCAACTAATGAAACAAAGTTGTCGTATGTCTTAAACTCCCCAGATTTATATATGTCAGAGATGTTCTTATATACCATGTCGCAATCTTTGTCCATAACTTTATGGTTGCAATGATATCTAGAAACTCATAATTTACTTTACGTATTGAACTTCTTTATTTCTACTGAGTCAGTTGGTTTCACTTCTATTTCATCGAATTCAGGAATAGTGAGCTTTTGTTGTTGGATTTCAGGCAATTTGGGTAAATGGTCAATAATGTCCTGCATGTCATAAAGATATTCTTCATTTTCTTCATCCTGTGCGGTACAGTGTAAATTACTTGTTAAAAGTTCTTGCTTTATCTTCTGGATTTTTGTTTCAAAAGTATATGAAGAAGGAATAAAGCTTTTCATCTCTACTAACATAGATGTTGGATTCATGACTAACGAATTTGGTGCTGTTGTTTGAATTGTTGTTGTGCCGATTGTTGAAATCATATCTTTTATACAAAATAAAAAAATAAATAAAAATAAAACTAACTTTATTTTTTCTATCTTAAGGAAATTCATGAAAATTCAAGACCCTTTGGGTCTCGCCGCTTAGCGGCTGAGGTTAGAAATGAGGTTGGAAATGAGGTTAGATCTAACCATCTACCCTAAACATTATTTTTGGTGAATTCAGCAAAAATAATGAGTTCATTTACTCACAATATTTTTGTACAAAACGACCCCAAACTTTTAACTTCTTTTCTGCAGTTTCTAATGCTATCTTAGCGAGTTCATATTCTCTAAATTCTCTCTTTAAATCTTCTTGTTCCCATTGGTCTAGTTCGTATGAAGAATCTCTATAACCATAACATATCTCACGTTCATGTTCTAATTGTTTTTCACACATTTTTCTAACTTCTTCTTCAAACAAATGTTTAGCATTCACTACTGTATCTTCGAGTTCTTCTTCATCTAATTTCTCATGAACTTTCTTGTCTATGGAGTCCATAATTTTTCCAACTGCTATGCAATATTTTGGAGAAGCCCACATTGCTATATAGTTTATAAGTCTTGGGTCTACATACGTTCCTCTAACCTGTTTGATTTCATCAAGAATTCCTGCATGAATTTTGTATAAAAACCAACCGTCTGTATTCCGACGGTTGCTATATTCTTCACAAAATGCCTTATAATACTCTTCCCAGGACTTATTTTCCAACAACTTTCATGAGATAAATAAGAAATAACTTTCATTTTTCATTAGATAACTGTTATTTTTGACGAAGTGAAGATTTGCACTTCGTCAAAAAAATCCCTGAAATCAAGAATTAATTCCCGTCAAATACAAAAAATGAGGGTAGAAATGAGGTTAGATAACTGTTATTTTTGACGAAGTGAAGATTTGCACTTCGTCAAAAAAATCCCTGAAATCAAGAATTAATTCCCGTCAAATACAAAAAATGAGGGTAAAAATGAGGTTAGATCTAACCATCTACCCTAAACATTATTTTTGGTCATGGACTTCGTCCTCGCCGCTTTGCGTCTTTATGTTAAAATAAATGGTACCATTAATGATATCATGACTGTTCTCATTCATGTCTGATTTACATCTAATGAAAAAGTTTAGAAGAATTTTCTTATTCTTTCTGGCTTATTTTTGTCTTTCCAGTACTCCCGCTCTAATGGTCCCAGATGTGTTGACTTTGACTCTCTCAAGTTCTTAGATGGTATAACATCTTCAACGCCTCCTTCATATCTTACTTTATAAGTGTCATCGTTTATGTTATAGCCAAGTATTTCAATAACCACTCCTCGCTTTGCTTCGTCAATGGTTTCAGCAAGTTTGCCATCACTACTTTCGACTAATTTGTGACGAGGGTAAAACGCAATTGAGTCGTCAGCAGCTTTTATAAGATATCCATTACCTTGCGTAGAGTCTACGATATAATAGTTTCTACTTAACCTTAAACGTTTCTTTGTCAACGGTTTGTCGTCAAGAACTACACGAACTTTTGTACCAGGAATGAGGGTAAATTGTGTTGAATTTCTGATATTTTGTGTTTGGCTTCGTTTCTTTTGTATATACTTTTCTTCTTGTTGTTGTGTCATTGAATTTGGTGTATGTCCTGTTGTAGAATGTGTTGAGGAATTGTAAACTTCGATGAAATGTTTCATTGTTTCTTCAGTAAAGTCTCGCTCTTGATTTAAATCTCTGAGCGTTCTTATGAAGCGGTTTATGATGCCGAGTATGTTATGGCTATGGTCTTCAGTAGTGTAGTGAGTTATGTTATGCTTAATGAGAAAATCTGTGATTTCATTGCTGAAGTATGCACTGTCTTGGTCTGATGTTAAAGTACTTGGGCTATGTTCTGCTACAAACTTTTGTAAAACTCTTAACACTTCACGAGTTCCTTTATTCCTCATTGGATATGCATATACTTTACGAGTGTTAACATTAATGAAGATGAGGAATGGGTTATGTCCTCCTTTTCTGCTTTGAATGAGAGTGTCAAATTGGTATGCGTCAGGAGTGTTGGAGTAAATTGGTAAAAAGTAGTCGTAAGGGTTTATTTTTGTTTGATGTACAACATTTTTGTCAAAGAACCTTTTCACTTCAGCTCTGTTAGTAAATCCCCAACTCTTTGCAGCTTCATTGAACTTCTTAAATGACCTCCATGGATGTTGTTCGAATACTTCTTTCAAGCTCATTTATGTAAAGTTAAAGATTTTATTCTAGGCTCAAGCGCGTTCATTGAACGCGGTACCATGCGAATATAGTCACAAATGGTGGCATATAATCTGCACCCGAGCCTGTTGGATTTGTTGTGAAAGTATGGACATGATTTCCTCCCGGTTCAGTTGGTCGAAAAATCTTTTTTGCTGCATTGTTATAAGATGGAGATAAAACATCATGACCGGCTTCATACTCTGAGTTGTATAATGGGTGGTCTCTTAATGAGTGACTATGGTCGCCAGAAAAGTTTGTAGTTCCTGTATGAGTGTGCGGTGGAAGGTTTGCTTCTTTAATTTTCTTCGAACCTCCTGTTTGCTTTGAAGAGTTAGCACAGTATAAGAATTTATCTACAATCTGCTTCCACGTACCAAAACCTAAAACTGTTTCTGGATTTGTTGAATTCATTGACGTATAAATAGAGCCTATAGGATATAATGTTTGAAGTATTTCAGTCTTTAATGTTTGAAGCTCTGTTTTGTCTGCTTTCTTATCTAACATTGCTGGTAGTTCATGTGTTTCAAAGTTTCTGACATGATCTTCGATATTCCTGCAACTGTTATCTAAATTGTTTAGTGTATCTTTTACGCTTGTACTTGGATTCTCTAAAGGTGCACTTGAACCGAGGGTATAGTTCAATATTATGTCGTCTGCTCTAACAGTAGTGAAGGAGTTATGTGTATGGTTCTTGTCGGCTTTACTGTCTAACATTGCTGGTAGTTCATGTGTTTCAAAGTTTCTGGCATGATCTTCAATCTTCATACATTTACTATTTAAGGAGTTTAGTGTATCTTTTACGCTTGTACTTGGATTCTCTAAAGGTGCACTTGAACCGAGGGTATAGTTCAATATTATGTCGTCTGCTCTAACAGTAGTGAAGGAGTTATGTGTATGGTTCTTGTCGGCTTTACTGTCTAATGTAGCTTGAAGTTCATTTATATCGGAGATGTTGTGTTTATGAGATTTCAAAACTTTGTTCATTGCGTCAAGTTCATCTTTGTCAGCTTTACTTTTAATAGCATCTTCAAACGTTATTTTTGACTTAACTCTCAACGTAAATTTTGGTTCAACTAATACACCGTTAACAAAGAAGTATGAAGCATAAATTTCATCGTTATAACTAAATGCTTCTAGCGCTTTACCCGTGTCATAATGTACAGTACAGCTTATGTCATAACCTTTAGCACGAATGAATTTATATCTTCTTTCATTAACATCTTCAGTGCTTATTTGTTCATCCTGTGTTAAATATCCATGGTAGTCCGTTATAATCTGTTCATCTGAAGTTATATAATGAACATGGTTCTTGACTTTATCACTCAGAGCTAAAAGCTCATTTTTATCTGCTTTTTCGGCTAATTTCTCATTAACATCATTCACTTCTAATTCAACTCTTCCGCCAGAACTCTTATTATCATTAATCTTTTTCATTAATTCGGTAATTACGTCATAAAGACTATATTCTGTTTTCGGTTTTGTAAATAATGAGTCAAAATTTCTTTTCATCATTACATCGCTGACATTAATGATATCACCAATTCCTTTTTCATTTATTCTCTTCATTAATTGTGCAATAATGACGAATATATAATCTGTTAATTTATTCTCTTCAACGAGGGTTATAGAATGTTTTGAAATTGAATCATTAACTCCTCTAAATAAATCAATAACTTCAGGATACACGTTTTTAATGTCTCGAATAACCCGCCCAGTATCCTGTTGTTCATGTTCTTCGTTCCCGTCGTTACGTGGTTTTATATCTCTAACCATCATCAACGCAGCCATAACCGGAGGGTTTGTTGCTATCTGTTCGAAAATCCGTCCGTTATGTACGGTATATCTAAATAATTTCTTTGTGTTTGTTAAAACATTTGAAACAAGTCTTTTAAAACCATCTACAAAATTTCCTGTTTCGCCTAATGTTCTTGCAGCATTTACAAGCTCACCCATTCCCGCTTTTGACCCCAAAAACGTCCATATTGCATTTATTTCACTCTGTATAGTTGTCCATTCAGCAAAATTAATACCTGCATTCGCTAAGCTGTAAATGAAATTCAGTGGATCGAACTTAATTCCACCTTCTTTTTCAATTTCAACGAACTCACTAACATGAGATTTTAAATATTCTTTCGTTAAAATTGTTTTCCCCGATGTTATGCTGTTGACGGAACTATCACCGTCAAAAGTTAACGAATTCAATTTCGTCGTTGATGCTTTTATTTCATACACCGCTTTATCGATAGTTTTTGGCTCACCTTCTTTAGAAGCATATGAAACATTAATGAATGAATTATATGAATTCATGAATGAGTTAAAATCAATGATTTTCATTAATGACGCCTTTAATGATTCATTTACTGTCGAATCCCTTAAAGTAATTAATGAACTGTCATGGACTTCGTCCTGGTCGCTTTGCGTCTTTATGAAAGGTACACTGCAAACCGTCGAGTTTGGATCAAATGCTGTAGTCGGAGAAGGAGTATTAATGATATAAGTCATTAAATCATTAAGTGACGTAAATAATGTTGTCGTTTTTGATTTAATTTCTTTAGCATCTGTTATATACGGTAATTTTATTTCTGTAGTTTCTGAATTAAAGATATTCGCTAAATAGTTTTGTAAACTGTTTTGAACAGCTGTGTAAACCGTTGAATCCGGAACTCTTACGATTTCACCGTCCTTAATAAAAGGCATTGCACATGGTGTAGTGCTTGGGTCAAATCTTTTTGGGTTATGATTCAACATATATTCTAATGCTTCATAAACAGACCTATATACTGTTGTGTTATCTTTTTCAATAATTTCACCGTCCTTTATAAACGGCATAGTACATGGAGTTAAAATAGGGTCAAACTTTTCATAGTCCTTCCATGTTATGTATTTCTCAGTATTTCCATCAGTGATAACAATATATTTGTCAGTAAGTGTGAGAGAGTATTGACCAAAATATAAACGTTTAGCTCTGTCAGCTTCATACGCATATGCAGCTATACTCATATTTTAATGAGAATAAAATGTTGTTCTATTTGCAAAGTACAGACCCAAACGAATACGGGACAGTAAAGCTACAAACAAACTTAGGTCTACAGAATGAGGCGCTTGCATTCAGAATGGTTGACTTCAATACTATCGCTTCATTCGTTATAACAGATGAAACAGATTTCATGGAGATTGAAATAGATGGAAAGAAGCACGAAATAAGATTTCACAATAATGTAGAATATAAGATGGAAACATTAGCTGGAGTGTTAAATGCTCTCATAAATACTACAATAAACAAGGATAACGAAGAAAACTTAATGAATGTTAAACTTATTGCAGGAGTTTTGAAGTTCAGTTATGCGAAGGAGTTTAAGATACCAAGAATGAGTCATAGAGTTCAATTGCCTCTGGGAGCATACCATATGACAGTTCCTTTGAAAAGTGTTGACAAAACGATTGAGATGAAATCTGTTCCATACGTATGTTATGGCAACTGTTTGTACATTGAGTCAAAAATAGCTAATGTCACAGGTATTTCAGGAGTTAATAGTAAAGGTTCAGTAGAATATAAGTCTTTCTGTTATGAAGTAAATTCAATGTTCATTCCAAACGTTCCTGTCATAGCAACTCATTTAGGTAAATGGGTTCGCATTAGTCCTCATAATTTGAAAGACATGCAATTCAGACTTGTTGACTTTCAAGGAGAGCCTGTAGAACTGAAGGCACCAGTGCGAATGACTGTTGAAGTTGACTTTTTAGAAAAATATAAATGCAACAGCTTACAAGAGAACTCAGAGCTAAAAATATAAAGTATGAATGTTATGTATTAGGTCATGAACTTTGGTTGTTGCTGTTTGATGAAACAAATGAGTTAGTTATGTCAGTCAAGAGAACAGAAAAATATTGTGTTAGTGAAAACTGCACCAAGTCAATAAGATTAGGTTTGCATTATGAAGATGAGTTCGATACTGTTGAAGAAGTTTTGGACAGATACTATAAATTGCTTTAATTTACTAAAACATATTTCAAGCAAAGTTTATATTCTGTTGAAAGTTTTGTATATTCATTCGAATATTTATACTTAAACTCAACTCCTGTAGTTCCTGGTGTTTCAATGATGCGGATGTTACCTATTTTCATGAATAGTGGAGTTTGACCACAGCATTCGATTTCAGGGTCGAGATAGTCAATGACACATTGTTTCCCTGTTATTCGTGAGATAACATTTTCAAGGTCCTCCTTTGTTAGAATTATTTGGTTCTTGCTTATAAGATTTGTCAAAAGCTTCTTATCGTCTTTGAGTAAAATTGTTTGGTATAACTGAAGAAGGTAATGGTCTACGTTATCTGAAGGATTTGTTTGAACATTTGTGTAAGGATTGTCGCTGGCTTCTCTTGAAAGAATTTGGTCCAGTGGTGGATACTCTAACTTAACATCTGATGTAGCGTTAGCGTTTGCACTTGAAGCTGTGTTTAAATTCACCGACTTAAGATCTGGTTCTTTTTCTTTCAAACACTCCGAACTATAGTTCTTTATGACAATATTGTTTGTCGTTCGTGAGTCAACATTTGATGTTGGTTCAATTGGAACATTAACGGCACCAGCTAAGATGGATTTGCTTCTCATTTCATATAGAATAAAAACCTTTTATATGTATGAAATGAACAATATACTCGACAAGGGTTTGAATGTAAAGCTAACGAATGAAAATATTGTTGAATTCACTGAGACAGGTGCTGTGTATAAAGATGTAGAACTACTGAACAAAAGAGCTAAGGGAAGAAGCAGGAACATGAACAAAGGGTGGAAGCCTATAAAAATTTATGTCAATGATGGCTCAGGAGGTTCAAACATAAAGTATGCAGAAAGTTATAGAGTTTATGCTCTCAAAGGTGAAAAGCCTTCATTTAAGAACAGCTATTCTAACGCATATCCTCAAAAGCTAACGGATGGGGAAGTGGATGATATGAATGACAGCAAAAATATTAACAGAAATGGCGACAGAGATGCATGGAATTTGTTTACCATCAGTCAATTGAAGGTTAAACTTTAAAACAATGTTGGTCGTTCCCATGGAATATTTTTGACTTTAATGGTATTAGTCATGATATGAATCTCAAGGTATGAACGAGGAGAGATGAGAGACTTATATGCTTCCCAAATTTCTTCAAAAGGTAATGTTATACCTGACTGTTTCCAAATGAGTTCAATATCATAACGTGAGAAACCTTGAAAGATAACGAAGTCAGTTATGAGACGTTTTATGTTTAAAGCTAAAAACCTCCATGTTTGCATAAGTATTGCTACAGTTAAATGGTAATGTCTGACTTTAGTTATGATGTTAGCTAATGGTGAGTCTGGTTTTGACACTAAACCTTTTCCGGCGAAGTCGTCACAAACTAATAAAGTGTTTGATGGATATTTTTTGAAGGGGTATTTTGAAAGTTTTGATAGAATGTAGTTTGTCAGTTGTTTCATATCGTAAACTCCTGAGTATTGACGTAAGTGGTGTTTGTCAATAATTCTTTCCATCTCTTCTGAAGTCTTTTGCATTTCTGACTGTATAAATTCAACGATGGCATAATATTTCCTCTTACGTCGAATGTAACGTTGAAGAAATTCAATGAGTTCACTGTCTGGAACTTTAACGACAGAGGCTTGAACTTTTGACATAAATGTTTTCGCTGTTGAGTCCATAGAGTCTGAAGTTGCTGATATAATGATTTGGTCATAGTAAGAGTCGTTTCCTAAACGTTCTGTTATGAGTATATGACGAATGAGGTTGAATGTCTTTCCTGACCCCATCTTTCCACAATAGAAATAAACACCATTTGAACAGAACTCATAGTCCTTACTGAAAGGAAGAATGAGAGAAGAGTTAAGTTTGTCTGTAGTTTCATTCATGTCTTCATCTACGTCATGTATTAAATGCTTCATTTTATTTCCATTAAAAATGCAAGTCAGAAATATTCAGAACATAGCACCGAGTCTAACTGACAAGAGTATAAAGATATACTATGAACATGTTATGATGAAACCAACCAAAATTCAAGAAAGTCAGTATACTTATGAATATCCAAGACACTGGGTAGAGTATGTAGGAGGTGAGAAAGCTATTGAAATCAGACAGGTTCGAAGTATTCCAGCAGGAAGAACAATATTATTGAAGAACTTTAATGTTTTGAGGTATAATGATGAAACAAAGAAGCAAGATAGTTTCCCTGTTGCTGTGTATGTGAACTTAGATACAGGAGATGACATGAAAGTTTTTAATACAAAGCTTCAAACGGTAGTGAGAGAACAACTGACTGCGGAAGGACATCCATTACCTTCAGAAGTTACCATAGCATATAATTTTGAAACAAACTCAATAGATTTTAAAGTCGTCTCTGCAAAGAAGTCAGGTTTTACATTTAATGAAGCAGATGTATATTCGAATGAAAACTTCAAAGCTATTGCATGGTTAGATAATGACGATTGCTTTAAGAAAATATTTAAATACAGTGACTCAACGATGTCAATAGATGACCTTCGTGGAATGTTACCATCGACGTTTACAGTTGAAGGTTCAGCAGGATTGCTTGCAAGATTGTCAATTGGTGGTATTTGGTCTCGTGAGAACATTGTTATAAAATCCAGTATAAGTGAATTTGCTGAAGAATCTATATTATGTCTTTCAAACTACATGTATTCGCCGCCGAAGCATTATAGTATAACAAACTTTGTCAGTAAGTTTAACATAAGACTTGTCGAACCTTCTTCAATGAAAGATGTTGTACTACCTAAAGATGGAAAGGATGGACTCATTATTGAGATGATTTTAATAGCATATTAAATGAGTTTGTTTTTGAAGGTCATTCATGATGAAATAACTGTTGTAGAAGATGTTAGCAATTGTTCAGACATTTGAAGCGTATAGATGAGATAAGAAAGAAGTTAGATAGACCGCAAAGCGGTGAGGGCGAAGCCCGTGAGAACGCTTATGTTTCATTGACTTTCTCCAGTAACGAGAACTTTTATGAGATAATATTGAAGAGAGATGATTTTAATATGGTGTAAATGGTAGCTTGGGCAGCTTTAGGCGCAATGGGAACAAAAGCATTAGCATTTGGAGCAAAAGCACTTGGAGCTTATGACGCAGTAAATAAAATGAGTGGAGGAAGGGTTTCGAAGACATTAGATGCAAATAAAGGGAAGATTGGAGGCTGGGTTGCAAAGAAGTTAAGATTAAATAAAATAGGGCTCATAAATAAAGTATCCAATTTGGTTGCGACTGAGTCAGAAAATGCTTTAGGAAAGGACGATGAGTTTGCAAAACACGCAAAAGACTTTAATGACCAGATGAAAGGTGAAACAATGCATTTAAATAGAGTCGATGGAACTAAAGAAAATGTTTCTTCTCCACTAGTAGTTCTTCCGTATGGTCCCTATGGAATGTATGGAAACCCTTACGAAAGACCATTTGACCCATTGACTGGTGGAAGTAACTGGTATCATTACGGACGAAGAAGAAAGACAGTCAAGTTGGAGACGGACGTAAAGAAAGCAACTAAAAAAACCAAGGAAGAGAGTTATAAAGCAATGAATTCAACAGGGTAGAAATGAGGTTAGATCTCACCACTTCACCTAAATTTATTTTTGTGCTATGTTTTCATACGTGTGAGGGTGGTGATATCATTAATTTTTAAGTTTATTTTTATATAATTTTTATTTTATTTTGGATGTAATGACGAAAACTATTGAGATAACAAACTACAACGGTCATGAGTTCAAGAATTTGTTCTTCGTTCCTCGTGAAAATACATTCTATCAGATACGAGGGAGAAAGGGTAAAGTTAGTTTGAGCGTTTATGACAACAAACATAATGGGAGATATATAAAAGCAATAGATACAAACGGTAAGCGTGTTTCATTAGCTTTGTCAAAACTTACTAACATTTATTTTGACAGTGACTTTGACTCTGACGATTGGAGTGACAGCAGCGATACTGAAGAATATGAACTATTGTGTGAAGCACAGCAATGGGAAGCGCTGCAATACTTTTGTAAATGAGAACATTAGTGGGAACGTTAGTGAGAACGTTTATTTTTCATTAGTGAAGTCGTTAGCGAAAATGTTAGTGAAGTTGTTAGTCAAGTCGTTAGTGAAGTCATTAGTGAAGTCATTAGTGAAGTCATTTATGTGTCAGACGGTTTTGTAAATATTTAAGGTTAAGTTGGGTAAGGTGGAACACAGTGTCGCCGTACCCAAGTTAACCATACTAACTAAAATTCATGTCTACCATAGTAAGGATAGTAGGCATGAATGTTATAAAAAGCTTGGCAATCTTTAGAGCGGAGATCTCCTCAAGTCTACCATGGTATGGAAGATTTTAGGAGATCTCCGCTTTAAGGATTGTAACCATGCCATTTGTATCTTGTCGATAGTTTTTCTAGGTCTTTAGTCATTTAAGAGCGTAATTCTTCGTTTGACTTTTTCAATCACAAAGTCAGCAAAAAATCTCGCTCTTAAATGGCTAAAAATAGTAGGAATGACTTTGTCTGAATGATATTGATGAATATTTCGTTCCTCATGACCGAACTCCCAAGAGATCACCAAGAATTTGGGAGATTTTTGTAAGTTCGGTCATGAGGATTGTACTTGCAGTCCCAGACTATACTTAGGTCAGGGCTTCGCGTTTCTTTGTTCCCAGGACCGGATTCCCCTCCTGCCGTCCTAGATCAGGACGGCATTTGGGAAAGCCGGCCCTGAGGACTGTAATCTAGGGATGCGTTAATTACGCTATTTGACCGGACGTACATTTTTTTGTTCGCCCAAAAATTTCGCCATTTGAGAAATTCAAAAATTTTAATCTTGATTTTTTTATTTTCGTGATTTTTTTGGAACTTACATAAGCAATTAAATACATTTTTAAGCACTCGTTTATTATATGTAAATATATCTTAATAAATTTAATTCCTCAATGTAGAGTGTGTTCAAATTTAAAATTTCATACAATATTTTCTTAATGGCCTATTTTTCTATTTTTAAACAGTGGAAATCGTCAATGATGTGAACAATCTTCACTCTTCTCGGCCCTGAGAATTGATCTTGCAGGCCCTTGCCTCTACTGATGCCAGAGCTTCGTGTTGTAAGTATCCCAGGGCCGGATTCCACTCCTGCCGCCCGGGATAAGGACGGCATTTGGTGAAGCCAGCCCTGGGCATTAAAAACGAAGCCCTGGCCTTTGCTAGGGCCAGAGCCTGTATCTGTATGTCTTTCAGGGCTGAGTTTCAACGACAACTTCCATCATGAGGAAGATCGTCGTAAAACTCGGCCCTGGGATGAAAGTTGCAGGCTCTGGCCACTGCTTAGGCCAGAGCTTCGTATTTGGTTGTTCCCAGGGCCGGATTCCACTCTTGCCGCCCGGGATAAGGGCGGCATTTGGGGAAACCGGCCCAGAGTATGGTATGCGAAGCTCTGGCTTTTCCTGAGGTCAGAGCTTGTAATTTTCATTCAAAGCCAAGTTCCTCTCGGATCGTCATTTTGAAAAGTGACAAAAAGTGACAGCAGAATTTTTTTCGGAGATAATTTTCAGACGGTTTGGCTGAGTACTATTGCATTTAATAGTATCTCACACCCTCCAATTCATCCTATGGCGCCGAAAAATTTTTGGTGAAATGTCGTCGCATTTCACCAAAAATTTTCGGCGCCATATAAAGAAATATAGTCTGCGAGGTACTGATTCTATCTATGTACCTCGCAGACCATAGTTCTCAGCCAATATTGCTCAAATTCTGTTAATTGAATTTTTTAAGACATACTTTATAAATTTATTTATATTTTATATTTTACAGATTTTTATATTATATTATTTCATAAATCCAACTGTAAAATACTCAATTTTTAAAATTTCGATTGTCACCTTTTTGTCACTTTTCAAAATGACTTTACTTCGTGCATTACAATGAGGACGACCGTCGAGGAACTTGGTTTGAGTAGATGAATTGCAAACTCTGCCCTCGATGAAGGCCAGAGTTTTCAAGGGAATGTTTTGATGGGATGAGCTTATGCTCAGTAAGCTCGTCCCATCAAAACATTCTTCTAAAAATTGAATTAAAAATTAGCGTAGACATGGAAAAATTAAAACAATTATATAACAAGAATTGTTGCATGCTAAGATCAGTCATAATGTAAACCTCTCAATTTTATTGTCGTGGGAAGTATCTCAATTCCTTCAAAAAAATCGAAAAACTATTTAATTTTAAAAATATAATACTTTTAATTAGTTAATTAATTGGAGATATTTTTTAAAAAATCACTTTTGATAATACTTTTGAGAACTTTAATTAAAAAAATATATTCAAAAATATCCAGGATATCAAGAGGGAATTGTTCCTTATGAGGTCTATAGTTATGATGTATACCTCATAAGGAACAATTCCCTCCTTAAAATCGTAGACATTTTTATACTTATTAATCAACCATTCAAAATCATATCCTCTGAAAAGTTATTTTATTAAAAATTTAGAATTTTAATAAATATAGAGTTTGAATTTCATACAATACCTATATATTTTCAATAATGGAATTTGAAAACCATTCTCAAAAGTTCTCAGAAAACCTTTTTTTCATTAATTTTAAGAAATCTGAGTATTAAATTAAGTGATAAATTCGTTTGACACTACTTTAATTTTTAAATTCAAAAAATTATATGTGCTTCTTAAAATGACTCAAAAAAATTTTATTATAAAATAATATATAATATTAAAAATCCCACAACATTTTTTTACTTTTCATAATCGTACTTCCTCGACGATTAATTTCCACTCAATTTCTATCGTTGACCGAACTTAGCATGCAACAGAATAGAATAAAATCAACATTAAATTGATTGAAAAATTCTAAAAAAATCGAAAATTTTAAAAATATGAACAAAAATATCAAATTTGATAAGAAAATTAAAGAATTGATAAATTATAGAAAGATAGAAAGGCAAGGCAAGTGGGGCTTCCAGGCGCGTTGCGCCCTCTAGCCCCGAAGATGTTTAGTATAAATGAAGTTTTTATTCGGAAAATTGTTAGTCTTCTGGTGTGAATTCGGAGGACTCTTCTTGGATAGAGTCTTGTATTTCCTCCTCTTCTTCTTCTTCTTCCTCCATTGCTTCTGGGAAGAAGCCTTCTTCTGGGTCGAAAACATTATATAATGTGTAATTGAATGACACATTATATCTTTCTTTGAGTTCGCTCCTGACAAAGAACTTAGTTCCAGGAATACATAAGACTTCTGTGCGTTGGAAAAGCTGATGTCCTGGAACGAATTTGGCAATTAGAGACTTCTTTTTCCGAATTGTTCAGGAGTTTTCATGACGACAGTAACAACATCTCCATCTGCGAGGTCTTGTTGTTGTTCGGAAAGGTAAAGAGCAATGATATGAATGGTTGCTGCGTTGAATTCGAGAAAGTCGAATTCAAATTGTGTTGTCGTATAACATTCAAACCATTTTGTACAGTTGTCTCCGAACTCGTCAACGTATTCATCTTCGTCATATCTGTAACTAAAGACTTGGAATTCGGCAATTCTCGTGTCGAATGACCGTTGGATGTAACGAGGAAGATTTTGACGAACTTGGTATAAAGTTCTCAACATTATAAGCTTAGTAAATGTTGGAAAATACTGAACTAAGACATCGCTAAGCTCAATTGGACTTGGAATTGTCTTAGTAAGTTCAATTGAACTAGTAATTGCTTTGTTCAGAACATCACAGAACTGAGTATTGTATGTAGCGTCTGGTTGTGTGTTTTGTTCGGCATCTTTGAGATATTTAGAGCAAATTTGTTGAAGAAGTTCTCTTAATTCGCTGTTAGACTTTTTGGTGGTTATTCTAACCGCTGTGCCAGTTCTTGGAGGTTGTGGGGCTTTGGCTTTGGTTAGCGGTTGAGAATTGTTAATGTTTGAATTGTGGTTAACAGCGTTGGCTTCCATTAGATAAAAATGAACTGACCAAAAAAGACAGATATTTAAATATTTGAGATAAACCGTTTTCCTCAACGGTAACCCCCTCTATTTTTTTATTTTATTTAATAGTTACCGTTGGAAAAACGGTTTATCTCAAATATTGAATGAACTATAAACGTGTTTTGTTTTCTATATATACTTTTTTGTACAACGGTAAAACTTTTTAGACAACGGTTTTTGAGAGTCGTTGCCGTTGACTTTTTTGTAAAGCACTCAAAATAGTATAACTTTGTCCGGACAAGTAAGGGTCTATCGTCGCTACAGGAAAAGTTACAGGCGTTCCAAGGAAGTATACTTTGAGAAGCCTTTTTCCCTTTATAGAATGAGATAGGACGGTTATTTTACAAAACTGACAACACTTTGACCGAGTAGTTTTTTGTGCTGAACAAAAAGTGTCATATAAATATCTGTCAAAAACCGCTTTTTAACTTCACTTAAAATGCCACGTAAGCTACGTAAGAATATACGTAAGAGAAAGGGAGCATTGAAACATCCAATAGTAAAACTGACACCACAACAACCGTTGCAACAACAAATGATGAATGACCCCACTATGTTGCAACAAATGTCAAGCAACCCTATGCTTTTAAACCGAGTTATTGGTGCACAGAGTGGGGTTTAAGAGCAGCACTTTTAGCGAAAATGGCAGGCTATGGTGGAGCTGCAGACGGAACAGCTTATAACCCTCAAAGTCAAATGAATTTGAGTTCACTCAAAAATCAAATAACAGATGTCAAAAAGTCAAACATAGACATACAGAAACAAATAAGTGAAAACGAAAAGAAACTAGAATATGACAGACACACAAAGAAACTCAATGAGTTAAACGTAGAGAAAAAGAAAGAAAGAAGAACAACTGAAAGAACTAAGTACAGAGGAATATGCGAAAAAAGTGTCAGAAAAAGCAGCAGAAGTAGCAAAAATGGAACAAGATGTTATAAATTTGAAAAACCATACTACTCAATATAAAGTACTGAAAGATGAAGAGATAAAACAAAAAGCCTGAAGACATATATGGATAGCGATGAGTATAAAAAAGAAGTTGAAGCAAATGTAAAGGCAGAAAAACTTTTACAGTTGCAAAACCAAACCATACAGTATGAAAACTAAGCACAAGAAAGTAAAAATAACGACGCAGCCATGCAAAAGGCAATGAAAAGTGCAGAATATATAAAAGCTAATAATGACTGGTTAGATGCCCAAGCCAACGCTAAAGCAGCCCAACTTATAGGGTCAATAAGGACAAAAATACAAGCGGATGAAGACAGTTCAAATGAAGCTTTAATGAATGCTGACTTTAAGAATGCCTTCGAAGCTCTTCATAGTAAGGTGAAACTAGTGAACGACTTCTCATCTGGAAAGAAACTGAAGTCTGAAGGTTTCGACAAAGAGTTAAGAGAAGTAGCACAAAATATGACGAAAATAACAGATGCAGCAACGAGACAGGCAGTTCAAAGTGCCTATGACGCCGTTAGAGCAACTGTTGTGGAAAGTCAAGAAAAAGAGTTACAACAGACCAAAACAGACCTAGTAAATGCTTTCTTAAAAACGAAAAGTCAGGTAGGACATTATGCTGCAGATGGAACATATGTGCCAGCTGGTGGAACTTATATACCACCAAACCCTCCAAGAGAAGCACCTGCACCAGGACTACCTAAAACATTTACATTGTCACATGGACACAGACACAGGCATGGAGATTGGGACAAAGTTGCAATTCGGCACTTTTTGTAAAAAATGAGGTCATACTCATAATGAATAGAGACTTATAGCCAAGTCTTGATATCATGCAGGGAGAATATACATTGATAAGCAATTATATTTTATAGTAGTAGTATTCAGAAATTCTTACAATTTACAATACAATTTCCAAAAATGGATAAAGACTAATAGCCAAGTCTTGATATCATGCAGGGAGAATATACATTGATAAGCAATTATATTTTATAGTAGTAGTATTCAGAAATTCTTACAATTTACAATACAATTTCCAAAAATGGATAAAGACTAATAGCCAAGTCTTGATATCATGCAGGGAGAATATACATTGATAAGCAATTATATTTTATAGTAGTAGTATTCAGAAATTTAGGGTTGTTAAAAATATCAAAAATTAGCGTTTTGAAGACACCATGGTGTCTTATAATTTTCCCTTCCTTATTGGCGTGTAGAAATAAATGCGCCAATAGATTGAAGAAGAAGAATTGTTTTTCTCTTAATGAACTTTAATCCTTTTGATATAAGAATATTAAAAACATTAATATAATTTCGATTTCGGAAATTAAATTTCCAAATTTTTTGTCGATTTCGGAAATAACAGGATCCCGCATCCAACACGCAACAACAAAACACAAAACACACTTTTTGGTTCTTTCATCGCTTTAATCGTAATTTATGTAATACATGATTTGGATAAATTTTACAAAAATAGAACCTATATTATATTCTTTTCAAAGATTCTTGCAAATCATCAAAAATAATTGTATTTTAAAAAACGATCAAATTATCCTTTCATTATTTTAAACTTAAATTAGTTTTTATGATTGACTAAAGCAATCATATTTATTCATCATTAAATAAACAAAAAAATAATATTTGAGAGTTATTTCAAAAAAAAAACACATTGAATTTATTAATTTGTCTCAATTTCAGTATTATAAATTTTTAATTTCAATATTTTGAAATACACTTTTTAATATTTCAATATTTATGATATTTCAATGTTTTAAGTGGTCTCAAATTGAGCTTCTCAAATATAAGTTGGCCTATTCAAATAATAAAATTAAATAATATTTAAAATAATAAATAAAAGTGATTGAGGTCATAGCAAAACGGCTGTTTCAGTCATTAATTCTTAAAAATAAAAAGGGTAAAAACTAAATACAATGGGTAAAATTCAATAGTGTCTGTGCTATCGTTCAATTTGAAGGTGTCTTTTGAAACCGCAAGACACATTGAATTTTTGAATAGTGTATTATGGTTTGACAGACACCAATGAAAAAAATAAAATGATATTTATTTTAAATATATAAGATCCTTATATAAAATATAAATATTTTATCGTTTTATTTTCTTGTTTTAGAAATGTTTTTTATTGAAAAATCAATAAAACTAACTCCAAAATAAAATTTTTGATTTAAAGACACTATGATGACACCAGGCAAATCTTCCAAGACACCTATCGTCGGGAATCTAACAACCCTACAGAAATTCTTACAATTTACAATACAATTTCCAAAAATGGATAAAGACTAATAGCCAAGTCTTGATATCATGCAGGGAGAATATACATTGATAAGCAATTATATTTTATAGTAGTAGTATTCAGAAATTCTTACAATTTACAATACAATTTCCAAAAATGGATAAAGACTAATAGCCAAGTCTTGATATCATGCAGGGAGAATATACATTGATAAGCAATTATATTTTATAGTAGTAGTATTCAGAAATTCTTACAATTTACAATACAATTTCCAAAAATGGATAAAGACTAATAGCCAAGTCTTGATATCATGCAGGGAGACTCTCTACAAATACAAAAATTGATTATCATAAGGAAATACAAATTTATCAATTTTCATGTGAAAATTACATAAATTTGTTCTCCAATAAATAGCAATAATACTTTGAATGTTATATTAAGTAATATAGCTTCAGGTAAATAAGCTTACACTTCAAAAATATACTGTTTATTCATTAATTTAAAAAAGTCCAAATTATCTAGTCTTGCTTACTCTTCCTTTAAACTTCTTTGTGCCAAATTTAATATTGCCTTCAAAGATGGAATAAGGACATTAGGTTCAATCCTTCGGCTTTCGACAATTTCCAAAATGTGTTGAATTAATTTCAAACATTCATCGTGTTTTGAAGCTCTTTGCTCAACAATCTGATTACCTGCCCTTGTAAGAATTCTTACTGCTCTTTCTTCATTCAAAACATTAGCGACTTGAACCTTAATAATCGCATTTGGAATCACAACAGTGATGAGAGTTATGACGATGTCATCAATGCGCTCATTTTTCTTACCCAAGAAAAATGTTTGCTTTAATTGATGAAAGTGTGATTCCGCAATGTTATTCGTGGAATCACCTTCTCCACGATATAACATCATCCAATGTTCTTTGGTTCTTCTCCATTGTTTATCGAAATACTTCAAAGCGCGCGGTTCTTCTTCTTCTAACATTGTTGTCAAGAACTCATATGTTTCATCAGACTCTTCAGCCAGCTTTTCTGCATTCGTTGCATCTGCACGTAATGTCAAAAAGTCCATTGCTAAATAGAAGTTCTCAAAATTCTGTGGATTGTCAAAATAGCTTCCAACTTTTGCACATGCGCGTAAAACATGCACAGCGCACCAACTGAGCTGCGCAAGAGGAAATCCGTCCTCAATTGCGCGAGCAATGTTTAGCGCACAGTCAGCGCTCCAATGCTGTGGATCCAGGTGCGCAAACTCACAGAATTTCACCAAACATTCTTGAATTTTTTCAGATGTCTGAGGGTTCACTAAAAATAGCAAAAGGGGAAAATTGTGTTTTGACTTGTTTTCATTGTTACTGCAAACAATTGGATCTTTCCTTTAATTAAAGAATGAGTGGAATCGACGTGGAGAGGGTTATCAATGCTATGCACCAATTCTTTTGCAGCAAAAGGTGCATATATGATTGTAAACTCGGAAAAATCTCCATTGTAATCAAATTGAACGAGATCATCTGGACACTCTTCCTGTAAATTATTCAAAAATGCTTCCAAAGAAGTGTAAGGATCGTTTGATAATCTTTGTGCAATAATATCATCAAGGCGATAAAATTTGTGCTTTAAAGCATCAGTAGACTGCGCGAAAAGTTTCATCGTTTCTTTGTTATTCGTATCAATTCCGAACTTATCAAAAAATGCTTTTTGAGCAAGAAATTGCTTTCCACCGTTTTTAATATAAAGTTCGATCCATTTTTGATAAAATTTACTCGCGTAATGAGAACCCATTTCAACTCCTATATGATGGCAATGTTCTTCATTAACTTTGTTTATAGTAAACACTCCATTTTGTTCTTCAACCCTAAATTTTGCCTTGCATAGGGGATACGAACATGAATAAGTGACATATTGCTTTGGAGATCCCGTTCTTCTTCTGTATGGGACACCGCCCTTGACTTCCTGTTTAATACCAAAAGCAATAAGCTCCTCTAAGTCCACCGAAATCATAAAAATGAAGTGATTTTGAAAAGAGTTAACAAAATTCAAATCACATCAAAAACAAAAACACATAAAAAATATTTTATTATACTCATTCGAAATTAAAAATAATAAAATTTATATATATTAATTTCATTAAATCAAGGTTAAAAATCTCACCGGAAAAATAACCTCAGTGTGATAAATTTATCACCGGAAAAATTTACAATAAGGTTAATACCGAAAATATCGAAAAATCAACATTTAAGGTTAATTTAAGAGTATGCACTTTTGTCACCTACTCCACAGGCATGCACCAAAACCAACATAACAACCAACAGTTCAAAATCCAGCACCACAACAACAACCAAAACCAACAGTTCAAAATCCAACACAACTATCTCATACCGAAATGGCTCAGTAAAAAGGTGACATTTTTGGCGCCAATAATTTGATTTTTCTGATTCTTTCTATTTAGATATATTTATTTAATATTCATATTCCTTTATATTGCCTCATATTATTTCCCATTTTTAATCATATTATACAAATCTTTAATAATTTTTAATGTTTTGAGTTTCAAAATCTTGTTCTAACTATTTTCATTCATATATCCTAGAAAAAATTAAAAAGTTTTTTAGAAATAAAAATGTTTGTATGTAAAGTATTGAAAATATTCTAGATGAGAAGACATTCTCCAGAAGAGATTGATATTGATTGGCTTTGTGAAGCCATCACAAAATCAAATAATGGAGTTAAGTTAACTGATATTTGCGCGAAAGCTAAAATAAATCATGAAGGCAGAGTTATATATAATCATACTATCTTAAACTATTCCTAGAAATTTCCAAAATTAACCGAAATATAACTGTACAGAATTACTATTTTCGAGATAAAATTTATATGGAAATACTAATTCATAACGCTTTATGTTATATAAAATTTAATTTATAAAAATTTCAAAATAAATCAAATTTAACACAATGAATATAACTGCAATCGAGGTTTTTGACGATTGATTCTTACGAGAAGTTTTCCAAACTTTGAGTTAATGTCTTGACATTAACTCAAAGTTTGGAAGTCTAATAAGGGGAATTGTAGGCTATGAGGTACTGATTATATATCAGTGCCTCATAGCCTGCAATTCCCATTAGAAATGGGAGAAAACTTTGTCCGCATAACTTATGATGCGGACAAAGTTTCTCCCATTTCTACTTAGAATGAAAGGGCAAGAGGTATATAGGTACACTATATATCTCTTGCCCTTTCCTTCTTACCTAAAGACTTCCAATCTTATTTTTTTTTCAATTTTTCCCCTAAATTTAAATCTTATATAATATAAATAAAATGCATAATATCAATCACAAAAAATTAATGTTTATTTTTTAAATTAAAATTGCCGCGCAATTTAAGGTTTTCTGTCACTTTTTTGTTAGCCATTTCGGTACGAAACACAAAATCCAGCACAACAACCAACAGTTCAAAATCCAGCACAACAACCACAAACAGAGCAAAGACATAAAAGAAGTAGAGAAAAAGGAAACCAAGAATTCTTAAAAATGCTTAAGGAAGATGGTTACCCAGATACTCTTGACTTTAGTGACAGATATAAAGAAGCTATTAGAAAGTTCAAGGAAGGAAATACTGACCCGAACCTATTTAGCTTTATGGTTCAGCATCAAATCGGATATAATCTCAAACCTGGAAAATACAAGCTCGCTAAGGGATATGATTTAATAGCATATCATCCAAATGACATGAATGAATTTACTCCGAGATATTTGATGTCAGAGCTAAATGATAATTCAACTCTCTTCATGAAACGCATAAAAAATAGAGACGGAACGAAAGAAGAAAGGTTTATGAGTCCGGATGACTTAGATAGGGAACTTGTTAAAAACAGTCTCGGAATATATGAAATGCCAGCAGATGAGGTACAAGAAACTCCACAGGAAGAAACTCAACAGGAAGAAGTTCAGATACAACCAGACATGGAAGAAATAGTCAGCAACAACAGCTAGAAAGAGCCTGAAGGAAACGAACAAGTCCCTCCTTTGGAAAACTAACTTCACAGAACTAGATGAAGATTTGGAACAGCCGAAAAATCTTGACCCTCAACAAGAGTATGAGGAGAATATGGAATCTTTCCAAGAGTCTAAGAAAAATTCGGCTGACATAGTAGAGGATTCGAAAAATGTTCACCGACATACAAAAGACTCCAACATCAGATGAAAATATTCAGCATAGAATGGAAGTACTGAAAGAAAATGTACGCAATACAATAATCCTTTTTACTTACGACCATATAACGTTCAATCTTTGGCTGAACTCGGTGAAAATAAAAGGTATAATTTCAACAAAACATATAGAAATGAAAACATTGTTTAAAGTTCATTCAGAACCTAACCAATATGGAAACAAACCTACTTTTGTTTCTGCAGACTATGGAACTACAATGAAATGGGGTCATAAAGCTAATCCGGATAGGTGGTTCATAAACTTACAACCTCAATTCCAAGAAGTTGTAGACGCAATGGAAGTGAATGTGTGAACCAGATATAACAGGTATTTTCAGCGCGGCTTTAATGCCATTGAAAGATATGAAAGATGCAGATATTTTGGACCAGTATGAAATGAACATGGCTGAGGGAAATATAACACCTGACGTTCTAGAACATTTATCTCAAAGAACTACACAGAAACCATAGAGATGGTATATTTGGTGAAGAGTTTAGAAAGAAAGTTAGGGAGAGAGAAGGAAAAGAACCTATTGTACATGACCTTGCAAACGAAAGTTTGCAAAATGTCATAAAAAACTTACTTTGCAGACAATGAACTGAGAAGGGATGAATATTTAAGAAAACTCAAATGACAGTACCAAATGAAATGTTAGTATTGAAAAACATGTTCCTTGACAAAATAAAACCAACTACAGAAATAAATGACGCAAGACTGAAACGTTGGGTAAAAGCTTTCCCATTCACAAAAGATATTATTGGTTACATGGAAAGAAAACCAGAATGGCTACAAAAACATATATTTGGAAACGAGCTTATTCCATATGGGCAAGCTCTGTTTGAAGAGCTTGAACCGGAAACTCAGGAAAGAGTCATGCAAACAATAAGCGAAGACTCAATTACAAACTATGACAAAATCTTTCTAGGATATAGGTTACCTGAGATGGGCGACCAGAGCCCAAAGGCAAAAAGGGCATGGAAAATTTGCAACATACTAGATGAACATGAGGCAAAGATGCTACAACTTGAAGCAGAGGGCAAGTTACCAAAAGCGACACCAAAGAAGAAGAGAAGAGTAGAACAAAGTGAAAGTAGTGAAGAAGTAACTTCATCTAGTGAAAGTAGTGGCAATGAAGGAAAAAGAAGAGTTAAAGATTCAGTTAAAAACTCAGTCAGGAAGAAAGTAAAGCTTGGTCCGAGTGGGTTCTATTATGACATATAAATCCAACTATTCTATATTTTTACCCATATGAAATGTACGCCGCTCAGAATATAACGCCAACAGTTTTGGATGCCATGAACGGAAATGTTTCCGAATGGTATAACGAATGCGATAATGCCATTAGAAGGTCAGAAATAGTTCCTGGAACTTACGAATATACAACTGCTGTTTCTTATGGAAACGTAGGTGAGTTTGGAGAAGGTTCTTCAACAACAGTAGATATTGCTTGCGACAGGTTTCACATTATTTCTATTGACAACTCATTCTTATACGTGGAACAAGACATTAAAATAAAACCTTCTGCCAAGTTGTCTGACAAGAAAGGTTGCAATGGAATTTTCTATGTCGTATACCAATATGCTCCAGAAGTTTTCATGGGATATAAGATATATTCTAACTCTGACTTAGTTCAAACAGTAACATGGGCAAACTATGAATGGTTCGCTTTGAGAAACTCAGTACAACCACAAGCTAGAGAACAAACAGACCAGTATGCAACTATTGAGAAAATAAGAAGACTTGACCCTAACGTTCCAGGAGTTTATGTTAACCTTTCTGGTTCAGATGGAACTGCTGCCACTAAAGTAAAACTGAAACTTAGAGTTCCTTTGTCATCTTTCCTCATCTTCAGGTTTTTAAGATACTTACCAAACTGGGCTGGAAAAATTTCTATTGAACTTACTCCAAGCAAAAATAACTTAGTCATTGCACCAACACAAGACCTATTCACTATTACAGACGTAAAGGGAACAAATCAAACGTCATTCGCCGAATTTTGCAAAGACAAAGTTGACTTAGACTTTGGTTTCTCAAACTTCAACAATGAAGTAAACTATTATTTCAATGCTGCTGGAACTGCTTGGGACCCAGTTAAGTTCACATGCGAAAAATTTGAATGCAAGAGAATAGAAAGCAGACTTGCCGTTTATATGTTGGACACAAATATTTCAAATGCTTTAGCTGCCAAATATATTGCAGTTCCACTTATGTTCCCTATACACCAAATATCTGTCAAAGACTTTGCAGGTGAAGTTGGAAACCAAAATCCAGGAGCCGCAGGTGCAAGAACAGATATTGCTTTAACAACTGCAATGAAATATGCAGATACTATGTTTGTACTGTTCAGACGAACTATAAATGACTATTCTTGTTTCTACAACCCTGGTATTAAATATCATATAAACATAGATGGCAAATATTATCCAAGAGAAGAATATTCTACAGTTGAGGATATGAGATCAGACAACTTGACATTAGATGCTATGAACTTTAACAACAACTTCACAACAACTATTAACCCTGAAATGCAAAGTTCTATTATGCCATATGTGAAAGTATGGACTCATACAGGAGTCAAAAAACTCAATATACAAATGGAGACCGTTCAAACTTTGGCTTGGCATTCCATTTGCTGACTCAGAAGACTTTATGGGTGGTATTTCAACTGTTGGTACATTAAATACAATATACTGGTGACAGAGACGGTCCAGATGAATTGAGAGCAAAGAAGTTTACAAAACCAATAGCACTTTTCACGGAAGATGCTCTTTTGAATTCGTTCGATGAAACCTGCTGGGGCTCCTCAGATTGGCATAACGACAGCTTCCATCGAGCAGATTTTGGCAGCAGGTCAGTAAGTTGTTCTTGAACTGACTTCTCCCGTCAAATATTGACAGTACGCCAGTTTTGACATAATATTGTAAGATAAACTTACCTTTAGTAATATCTGTAAGTTTTTGAAGTTATATTTTTGTCTGCTTCAAGAACTTTCACCATTTCAGTTATACCAACTTTCTTTGCTTTATGAAAATATTTTGGTTCAGCAAATATTGCTATTCTATAACATTTTCCATTGTTTATGTAAAGAACTATTCTGTCAATGTATTTGTATTGTTTGTGAGTATAAACTTTGTTCTGCTTCAATTCAATAAGATATCCGAATACGTCCATCTTTTTATTCTAAGTAAAATGTCATTTCCGAAAAATAGAAGCGTAAGTGTTTCAAAAGTTTTTAATGGCGGCGGCAGATGTGAAGTTAAATTCACCAACTCAAACAAACAGTCAAAGTGTTATTGTCAATGTCAAAGACAGAGATGTTGAAGTGGGGAAACCATACGAAGACGAAGATGGTATAACAATTGTTCCTGTAAAAGAACCAACATATCCTGAAGTTAACAGAGACTTAAGTTTGTTGCAGATATTCGAACGACTACCAACAACTTAAAGACAAACTTCAAACTCAGGAGAAGATTTGTCAAGCTTTAAGTATAATGTTAAACTTGGTCGAACACAACCCTGTAAAATTGAACTCATATGTCATTGCACCTCATGAAGTTTTGAAAGAACTATTGAAACTTTTGACAGAGGCAGACGATATAAACATCAAAGAAATAGAACCCGACATTGGTTGCTGTGGTGTTTCATATAATGTCATTGACAAGAAATGCGTTATGAAAGGAGGTGAAACGTTGAACTTAAAATATAGTTTCCCAGACGTTATAAAAATATTTGACGACCACAACATTTCATTAAAGTTTGTTTGCTAAGTAAATGGCAGAAGACATAATGGTTTATACTATTACGACTAAAAACCCTGAGTCATATAATTCTATAACAACAAACTTACAAAGTCCTCAAGGACGATATTGTAAACTAACCTTAAACACAATGACGACTAAAGCCTGTTTTTGCTCTTTGACACCAAAAGACTTTATTGTTGTGAATGGTAAAAAATACTCCTTTGAAGATACTTACTCAGATATACCACCAACAGGTTTTGTTGACTTATTTAATACTTTAAGTACGGGTGTAACATGTGCTGCAACTAGAGCAGGTTTCATTATGTTTGGATGTCGACTGAGTTTACTATAAACGATATGAGCTATAATACAAAACTTATATCTGGTTTTTACTACCAACAGTTTCCTATAACAGGAAAGGGTGTCATACAAGGTTTGTCTATTCCATTGACATTAAGCACACCAATCTTATATATTGTTTCAAACTTAGGTTCAAAGTGTTATTCGAATGTCGACAGAAACTATTATGACCAAAAGATACTTATGCGCATAAACAATACTTTCTCTGCTGGTTTGCCTATTGTTCATTCGAATGCAGAATTTTCAACCTTAGTGAACTCAAACACTTTGGCAAGTATAACGTTGACATTAGTTGACGCAAACTTTGTTCCTGTAAAACTTTTATGTCCTATGTATTTGTCAATGACGGCAGAAAGTTTCGAATTGGAAGATGCAACTGGTGAAAGTATTGTATTACAAGAACAACTTCAACAACAAATAGCTCAAGAACAACAAATGCAACAAATGGAACAACAAAGTCAAGAATAAAAAAATATTATTTTTTTTATTTTTATAAAAATGTACAGAATAGATGTTTCAGATTTTTATGACTTCCAAGCATTCAGAAATATGTGTCCATTTAGAGACTATAACAAAGCAGTCGAGAATTTGAAACGTTTAGTCATTTATGTTGACTCTGCCCCAGAATGTTATCTCATGAAAGAATGGGATGTTGTCTTTAACAAACCAAGAGCAACAATAGTGTCTGAACAAGAATGTAGACAGAAACTTAAGAAAATAAAAGTCGTACAAGTTGGCATGAAGATGTTAGATGCTTGGGATATCTTATTGTCAAAACTTGAAGATTTTTCAGTTCGTGGTATAAAGTTTTATACACCCTCTCCAAACTTCTATTCTATCTTCACTGGATATAAATATGAACAAGTAGAAATGGAAAGAAAATATTATAGAAGCTTGGTTAGACCATGTCAAAGAAATTATATGCAATGGAAACGAAAGAGTCTATGAGTATATCTTATGTTGGTTTGCAAACATCTTACAACATCCAAGTGCTAAAAATGAAACTGCTCTCATTATAATTGGAAAACAAGGAACTGGTAAGAATACTTTCTTTACAGATATCTTATGCAAACTGTTAGAAGGTTATTCGAACCCGAATATGACAAACTTAGAAAACATCTGTGGCAAGTTTAACTCCTCAATAGAGAATATGAAACTTATAGTTTGTAACGAACTTCAAAGTATAGATACAACAAAAGTTTTAAACTCAGATGCTTTGAAGAGTCTTATAACAGACAAAGTTGGAGTTGTTGAAAGAAAATATAAAGACCAAAGAGTTTGTGAAAATGTTGCAAACTTCATTATGGTTTCAAACAATGCTGTTCCGATGAAGTTAGAAAGTTCTGACAGAAGATATGTAGTTGTCAGAACGTCAGATTCTCATATGCAAGATACAGAATATTTTGACGATTTGTCAGAATATTTGACACCTGAGTTTTACAACCATTTGTTTTCATACTTTATGACATTAGATATTTCAAAGTTCAATCCAAGACAAATTCCACATACCGAAGAGAGACAAACATTGTTAGAAGCAAACAAGAGTGTATATGAACTGTTCGTAGATGAAACTGACTTTGTGTCATTAGATGAAAGGTCTTTATATGATGAATATAAACAATATTGTCAAGAATATGGTTATATGGCAGCTCTAAACGTACATTCTTGGCAAATGTCAAAAGTCTTTTAGATGTTCAGAATGGTGTATATACAAAGAAAATTTTTTCTGAGTAAATTTTAAAAAAATATTTTTTTCCGATAGAAAAGATGACGAAATATATTTCAGTAAATAAGTACATGTCAGGACTTAAAGAAGAACTAGACCCATTCACATATTTGAATGTTTACTTCTACCATTTTGAAAAGTCTTCATTCAGCAAAGTTTGGAACATCGAACCAGTTAAGTTTGCTATTGTGACTAAAAATGGTGCGAAATTTGAAGACTTAGACATAGAAGGTTTGTTAACAGTCAAAGAAAGTTTTGACAGAAGGTTCTCAAACCTTAAAGAAGGCAAAGCATACAAACTTGTTATACCTTATGAACCAAAGAAGACAGACGACTATGAATATTATGAGTCTAAAGTTGTAGAAGTTCAAGGTAAATTGGGTAAGAAGATTTTA